TGTATTTGCTTAAAACTATTTCATTTTCGTCAGTTAGGCCTACATTACATTGTCTCCATATGCAGGCCTACTACAACAAGATTTTGACGTCTTTTTTTGGTCCTCTATAGTAAGTGTTTGTCCTACTTTTGTCCAAGCTCTGTTTGGTAATCCTATATCATAAGACGCTGGAAGTTGTAGAATGCATTATATACTATTTTCAATTTTTCGAACTTTGACCCAGTGTGTTTTAACTACCATTATTTAGAATTTAGACCTATGTTGCATAAAGCCGTATCTTTATCATCGCTATGTGTAACAATCTTTGCGTCTTTGAATTTGATATTTATTGAGCATAAAAAAGCTTTAGATTTGTTAAAATCTAACGAAAGGAGAAATTGTGAACGGCCTGCATAGACATAGAATATAAACAATAGAGCTATACATGGCCGGATTTAGGACTGCGCAAGACTGTGCGGCTGCTTAGGGCCTAGCCTCCATATTTCAAATATATTTTTTTTTTAAATCTTAACAAAATGTGGATATTAAATGAAAGAAAAACATGTAACAAAAAAAAAGTTGTTTATTTTTAATCCATTCCTCCTTTTTGAAGCTGATGGTGTCTATAATTACCATTTTATACATTTCTCGTAATGCTCCATTATTGCAAGAAGTAGGCTACTCCTTGACCATAGAAACAGATGACTTTAACATCATCTGCCCCCATAGATCGCAAAGTCTGAAAGAAAAGCTTTGCTTTTATTTCTATTCTGGTGAGCTTTACCTTTAGACAATCAGACTATAATCTGTAAACAGTCCAGCGTAGTAAAACAATTTTAATTAAAATTACAGATGAAATAGAGAGAAATAGAAATAAAGAGTGTCTTAAAGTATCTGAAAGTATAAAGGTCTTATATATAATAAATATGTAGTGTGATTAAGTGTATATTTGACTTTCTATACAAAATAATTTCCATAATACAAACAAAACAATAATTAAATTAGAAATTAACAAAATTATAGTTTAACCAGAGACTACTAGACCATAACATTATTGTATACCTTTCGCTCTGATTATAGCATGTGATACCTATGTTGCAATATGACCCACACCTAATCGTGACGTTCGTTGTAAAGAGGTCTAAGTCTGTCTTTAAAAAATAAATATGTATAAGCCAATAAATAAGGCTAATGCAAATTATATAATAAAGTAATACACATGAATATAACAATAAGTAGATGTGGTTATCGAAGTTACATAAAAGTATAAAGGCCTGGTTTTGTTAAGACTTTTATAACAAGATTTCGCTTGTTATAAATGTCAAGGTTCTGTCCCTTGTTTATTATAAAACCTTAGCATAACAGGTTATATAAAGTTGTCTATTTTTAGAACAGTGACGTTTATTTTGTGTTTATATGTATGTTACATAAGCTCTCCCATTTATAAAACACCGCGAGACGGAGTGTGTAACAGAAGAGTGGTTGAACTTGTTTGACACATGTTGACATAGGAAAAGAAAGAATTCAAAGATAAATATTAACTTTGAGAGAAAAAAAAGAAAGTCGAAGCGAGAATAACGTAAGTAAATCTCGAAATCTTAACTGAATTTATCCTCATTCAGAAATATCTTGACCTATATATTAATTAGGCCTATATTCGAGACTAAAGGTTCGCTAAAGGAAAAACTGTTTGTTAGAAATAAAAACCTATATAACTACATAGGTATAGATTTTCTTCTAAGTTATCATATCAACCCTATCTATATAAATGTTTTTGGATTAAAATGTGAATTTAATGCTTCATTCTTTAAAAAGTCATCAGAGTTGTCAATATTCTAGACTTCAATATAAGTTAATAAAATAATTAGGCCTAAGCCACCTAATGGGTATATTTAATATGACTAGGCCTATTTGGCCTAATTTATAACGCTATATCTATGATATTAATTAAGTTTAACCTCTTTAGCCTTTCGTTTTTATTGTATTCTATAGGTCTATAGTTTGTGTTTAGTCATTGTGTAGGCCTATACATTTTGAATGACTTCTCTGAGACGCCCTACTTTTAAGTAAACTTTTAAGTAAAGGAGCTAAAGCCAGAAAATAGGACTGAGAGGCACCACTTGTAACTCTTTCGCCATTTCTCTCCAACTGCCTCTGTCATGTGCTGTTACTCAGTAAATCTATAAAAGTTGAATCTTCAGACTTTTGCAAGCCTGTATTGTTGGCCTTTCTTTCTAACACCATATGTATGTGTAATTGTTTCCAATTATAAATCATGGTTGACCAGCTTACCCTTTTCGTAACGCCCTAAATCATACAGAAGATCATTCGGCATTCTGCCTGGGTCTAAAAGTTAAACATATTTTTAAAAAAAAAGAAAAAAAACAAGGATACGTGTAACGTTTCAATAAGTAACCTACTAATATGTTCAACGTTTCTCCTAAATCAGTTTGTTTTACATGTTTCGGATGTTCCTTCAAAGTTGAAGATAGTTTACTCCCTAGTCCAAACCTCCCGCAGGACGACGGGGGGATGGATGCGGGCAGGATTTGAACCCTCGACCATCGATAAATCCGAACGACAGTCCAGCGCGCAAATCGCACGACCAGGCAGCCATCCAGTCAGTGATGTTCTACACTTGGCGCCGGCCAAATCACAACACAGATTAGAAATGAACAATATATGAAAGACTAACCTCGGAGATGAAGCAGTATTTAAGGTTAACTAAAATAAAAATATGCCCTTATTGTGGCAGCATCCTAAGGGTCGAGGCAATTGACTTTGCAGACATCTTCCATGCCATAAACAAACTTAGGAAGACTCTCGATACGTAAGAGGGCATTACCGATGCAGCCTTTCTACAGGATAATACTATTAATGCATAATACCATGCTGTTATATCAGCTGAGGGCATAGTGGCAACTGACCTCTCAAATGCATTTGCGGCTTAAACATCCTTAAGAAGATTCTCATTACGTGTCAGAGGGCAGTAATGCTGCATACCTACCACATTCCCAGAAAATTTTTCAGTGAACGCTTCGACTACAATGAGTTTTGTTTCCCTTTAGTGTACCTCGATCTTGACTTGGCAAGATAAAGACTATACACGTTTATTAATCTCATAAAGAGGAAACCGTTGTACCTAATTTTCTGTTTGACTGCCCCAGACTTGCTGATCTCCGTCTCGACAGGTCTGGGAAAACCAAAAATTCTTGACCTGCATGGCGACATTTATACACTACGCAAGACAGCAGGGTTTCTGTCCAGGGCTTTTTCAAGAGAGGATTTGAGCCTCTCAAGCCCGCACTCAAATGATGATGATGATGATTAATAACATAATTATTTATTTCAGTTTAATCTTACCAAAGCTTTTGACACGTTGAATCGCAATGGCAAATAGAAGATTTTATCCCGGGCTCAGATGCCCTCAACATTTGTCTCCATCGGTGCATGAGGGTCCAAAAATGTCGATTGAGATACATTGATGACCTATATGTTCATTTCTCTTTAGGAATGGTGCTGGGTGGGGGGGTGGGGGGGTTGTTGCCACAATATTTTTCTAATTACTCTTTTGAATAATGGTCAATAAAAGAAGGCGACCTCTGCATGGGGTCATTTACATCAGTAACGTATTGACGGCAGCAGCCAGCTTATTTAACTTATATAATACAGACGTTGCTTCTAAAAAAAAGACGATTACGTCCTACCCGTCATGCATTTGGTATTTTTAAATTCTGCCAAGTCACTGGTTTTCCTGGCTAGCTCAGGTAACTTACGACGCTCACCGTCCCATACTAAAAATTAAGGAGATAATTGTTAGTGAGCTTCTTCAAGCGAATGCTTGCGTCCTCCTGGCGCATACCGAGCAAGGGCTTCAACTTGCCTCCAACGAATATGCTGAGGCTGCTGCCTCGATTTGTGAACCTCAGAATGTCCACAAGTGGAGCTAACTCAGCTCCACAAATCAATGTGAATGGCCACTTCACGTACCAGGGCGACACAGTGTCCAAAGATGCATCACTGTCTAAGGCCAGCAGCTCTTTTGGTTGCCTACAAATGAGAATATGGTGGTATAGGTCTCTTTGCTTACCAACGAAAATCAATGTTTATAAAGCAGTGGGTTTTACTCACAATTTTTTTTATGGTACTGGCGCTTTTTGATCTGTAGGAGGCATCTAGGGACTTCTCCGACGATTCCATCAAAGATGACTTCGTTCCATTAAGGGCAATCGTTGCTAAGACTAACAAATAATCATACTCTGCTAGAGGCTGGTGTAAGCCGGAAAGAGGCACTATTAACCATTCGCTGGGTCGGATGCTCGTCCCGTATGAGGAATGAGGGCATGCCAAGGGCGATCTTTTTTGGCGAGCTTTAAGGGAGGACGGCATTAAGAAGGTGCCCAGTAAGGATCAAATCAGGCGCAATTTCGCCCTTCCTGACATAGAGGAAAGCTGCTGGCAGGAGACGGCCCCTGAAGAAGGTATCTGGATGGCTCTCACGAAGCCCAGTTGAGACCGAAGAGGAGTTTTGCTGAAGATAGGCCCAGACGACAAAAAGAAACCTTAAGTAGTCCCCTCCCTGCAAACAACGGCTTTGTCAGCATTAAAACAAATGTGGCAAAATGTGCAACTGTGTTTGCGTGGGATCAATGACAGTTGAGTGATATGTAGCTGTGTTTTAATGCTAAATTTTCCTCAGGGGATCTTTATGCATAGGGAATGTTAAAGGGGAAGATAACGTAACCTGAGTACTTAATCAAAAGGATGTTTAGATTTTTTCATAGAAATTTTTTTTTTAAATTTTTAAATAGGAAACTTCATAATTTGCTATATTCAATTTAAGCCTTGTCATCATAGGAATTCTTGGGGCTTAGGCCTCTTTATATGACTCTTTTTTTAAATTCTGTACTGAAGAGATTACATTGCCAACAACACATAAGATTTTAACATACGTTTACGGTTTACACATCAGTTTGCGTTAAAATTGTTCATAAACTTTTCAAACTTGACGTTCACTGGGTTGTCCATTGTCATTTGCTGTAGACGAACGAAGTTTTTTGGGATTCTTCCGGAAGGATTCTGTCATTATTTCCTTTGGAAGCCCAAGGATTACAAGAAATATAAATGGTTATTCAATACTGAAGAAATTACCTTGCCAACAACACATCAGACACTAACGTAAGTTTACGGTTTACACAACAGTTCACGTTAAAATTGTTCATGAACTGTCCAAACTTGACAATCACTGGGATTTAGAATCGTGAAATTTATACTTTAAAATGAAAATAATTTGTTTATTATTTTAATATGTTGGAACTTTACGTTTTAAATTAGGTGAAAATTGATATAGATGAAAAAAAATGCTTTTAATACTTTATAAAAATAAATATAATAACAGCATAAAGAGGGTAACGATGTGTTAAAAAAAAACGTAGAAAATTAGAAATAGTCTAAAATTAAAGAAAAGGTCAAAGTACAATAAAACATTTAAAGTTTCAATACAGTACGTAGTTTCCATTTTATTTCATCTTTTTTTTATATTAGAATGAATAAAGAACAGTTTAGCAAAACTATAACATGATTACAAAGAACACAACTCATCAAGCGCGTCTGGTGATATATTCACCCGCAGTATATCCCCACATCCTCAGCAATATCTCTAGTCTAAAGTAACGTTTCATTCATTTCAGTGCACACAACGGGCCTCATTGTGTATTAAAATTAGATCGTAATTTGTATAGAAGAGATAGAGAATCACGTTGCTGAAAACGTAGTTGTTTACGATTGGTGAATGAGGTCCATTTAGAGGACTTAACGAATTTAGTTTTTAACTATTTTCGATCCTGGCAGTGCCGAAGAATGACTATTAGTTCATTTATATAATAATAGTAATAATAAGGTAACTCTTTGTCTGTGTTAGATTTTTTTAAAATTATTTTTATTATTGTATCTCTTCCAACAGGCCAAAATGCTGTATATCATCCTAAGTATCGCAAACTTCTGCTTCGTGGTAACTCAGTTTGTCATCAATGGCATGTCCAGTGCTGGTCCAGACGGAAGTAAGTCTTTCTTTTGTTTTCTATACCGATTTGCTTTAATCTAATATATAACGTAGAATGTAAGGAGTATAAATATATATATATAAATATGTATTTATATATGTATGTATGTCCCGCATAGAGATCAAAATCGGTTGACCAATTTGGATAAAACTTGGCATAAATGTTCATTTAATCGTAGTGTATGTTTAATGTCCCTCCCACAATCGAAAAGCCCCCTCCCCCACCACCACCCCCCCCCCCCCCAAAAAAAAAAACCTAAATTTAACTCTATTAAAGAACAAAATCTCTAAACAAATTGTGTCAACCCGTTTTCACAGTATTTTCTATTAGTTATCAGTATTCCGCTAAACTGGTAAACCAATTTTCACTCTCCTTTTACATTTTCCTGGAAAAATATTTACAAAATGTGCAGAGAATATTTTCCATGTTTGATATTGATCTAAACTCAATTCACTGGATCAGTAATACCCAAACTAAGGTCTGCAGGCCGCGGGTCTTATCCAGCTAGTATACAATATAAATGAGAAAATCGTGAGCGGTTCTAGATTCTGATTCATTAAGCGAGCACAAAGACTTCCTAGTCAAACAATACTTTCAGGGGGGGGGGGGGGGGTTGATGGAGGAGGGTAAAATGTTTGTAAAATGTTTTACATGTTTCGGATGTTCCTTCAGAGTTGAAGATAGTTTACTTCCTAGTCCAAACCTCCCGCAGGACGACGGGGGATGGGAGCGGGCAGGGTTTGAACCCTCGACCGTCGATAAATCCGAACGACAGTCCAGCGCGCAAACCGCACGACCAGGCAGCCACCCTAGATATTTTAATGCGAGGGGATGTTAAGCATAGGGGGCGCTAAAGGGGCTTAATATGTCTGGCATTTTAAAGTGTTTAAAGTGAAAGATCGAGAAAATAAATCCCAATTGTTGATCAAATCGGACGTGGAAGCCGCTTTTACTTTTTTATTATGGTCAAACTATTAGAGCTCTGAATAGTGCCACTATCAACGACTTGGATTGTATTTTTAAAAAAATCGGAGGCCAAAACATAAATAAATATTTGTCATACTTTTTCACATTTTTACATTTAATTACTCTCATTTAGAATGCTCAATACGTTATTGTCCAATTTCTTTTGTGGACCAGTGGAGGAAGGGGGAATGTCGGAGAAGGTTTTCCGTGCTGCTTTTAGCTATAGAACTCCATACATTTAAAATTTAATCCACAACGGGCGATCCACCCAACTCAAAACTAAGTGTTTTTTTTTAATGTCTTTTGTGGGGCGCTAAACTACTTTTAATGCATCGCACTCACCAATATTTTCCAACTAAAATTGTGCAACAGAAAACAGTATTGGCTAACTCTTCTTTATGCTAAACAATTGTTCCAAATTTAAAACACATTTAAGTTCAGTATTTTTAACATCAACTCTTACTCTATTTTTTTCCCCCAATAGCTGTCTTCATTAACAAGACTGGAGTTTTGTCGAAATATTATGATACTGCCATAACACCAGCTGGATGGACATTTAGCATTTGGGGCTTTATTTATGCCTGGCAGGCTCTCTGGGTTATTTACTCATTGATCAACATCTTCAGAAAGAACCAGAATGGGAAAGTATGTGACAACCCGAGGTTCCTGCCGCTGTCAATGTTCGTCTTGTGTATTCTGATTTGCTGCTTAAATATCACCTGGTTAATTACCTTTGACAGACAGAAGATTGAAGTCTCCTGTGCTGCTCTCATAGCCTACGTTTTGCTAATGTATGCAGCCATGATCGTTTCATACCGCGCACTGGACAAGGCATCCCCTCAGCTAGTAGACCAGCAGAAAGTCAAGGATATTTGGCTTACCAGGGCTCTTGTTCACAACGGTCTGGCCATCCAGGCTACTTGGGTGACCTTAGCGTCGTTGCTAAACATCGCCATGGTGATGACCTACAGTGGAGGGAAGAATGTTGACTACGACACTGCCGGTACAGTCGTTTTAGCCCTTTTATCTTTCATCTTACTGTCGTATGTCTTAGCAGACCTCTTCCTATTAGACAGATACACCAGATATACAATCACTCCCCATATGGTTGTGGTTGTTGCTCTATCTGGCAGCATCAACAACCATTATGAAGAAGGAGAGAGGAACTCTGTTTTCAAAATTGTTCTTCTGTCCATTGCCGCTGCTTTCTTGCTAGTCAAAGTTATTGTCACCTTATACAGACATTTCAAGAAACAGCGTTACATCACCAACTTTACACCGACTACAAGTGAAAAGCAGCCCAATGGGATCTTAGCGTAAATTTAACGAATCAAAGTTTCCAGCATTTCTTGTTGTTAATAGCTCGCTTTGTTTTATGTTGTATCTAACCATCGTACATTTCAATAGATGTACTTTATGTAATTTCTAAAGTAAATATACAATGACTTCATATTGAAGCGAGAGGTCAATAGACAGGCCTGTATTTTTTTTATAGATTGTTGATTTTTTAATTGAAATGTTGTTGCTGATTTATATTCAATTATCAATGCGATTTGTTTGTATATAGGCCTATATTTGGCTAAATCTGTTTGTAAATGGAAGACAACATGCTTTACAATAATGAAATTTTTGTGACATTTAAAACTGATGTGCCTTATCTTTTTATGTAATGCATTTCTGTAGTATTCTATGCATACATTTTCCAAATGTTTATCTCAAGAATATATATTTTTTTAAATATTTATAATTTTATATTATATATTTAAACCTTAGAATCAAATGTTTTTAATGATTTAAAAAAAATAAACTGTTCTACATTTTAAGACTATAGACAACTGGTTCCTTTTTTATTTCTAGCCGTAAGCCTACCATTATTAGTTCTTATTTTCTTCAGAGTCAGAAGGTGGAATCTGATCAAAGCAAAGGTCTAAAAACTGAAGTGAAAAATTGAAGAATTTATTTCAAGCTTAAATTGTGCACGTAGGATGACTTGTTGATATATGTTGTTTGAAGCAAAAAGTATGTTTTTGAGAGGTGTACTGTTAAAAGGGGGGGCCGTGCCAATTAGATGTAAAAGAAAATAGAAATTCAATTTTTTTAAGGGCGTGGGGGTAGATCCATGGCAAAATAAATAATACATAGCATGGGAACAAATTAACGGCCGTTGCGTGGGTAATGATATAGCCTACTATATTATTTCAACATAAAGTAGTTTTTTTTTAATTTTACAATACTTGTTTTTACTTGCGAAATAATCTCTTCTTTAATTCGGATAGAATGACTGTAACTTATAAAGGCAATTATATTACAAAGGAAACTTATTATTATCTCTGTCCTTATAATTGTCTCTATAGACCACAAGGTCTGAAATGGGAACTTTACTTTTACTACTAGTAGTCGATGGATCTCTCAAGAGACGGCAAGGCGTGAAAGGATTGGTCACCAGAAATGAAGCAAAGAACTGGGAAATATAAGACAAAATATTTAACAATGTGCACTCCCTTCATTATTTTTTTAAAATTTCTTTTGTATGGAGCATATGCTTATGATAGTTACAGCATGATTATTCTTTGGGGGGGGGGGGGGGGGTCGAGATATATGTGAGCGCCTTAAGAAGCCAGCAAACAAAAGTCGTATTTGAACTATAAATATATTCTAGGTGAAATATTGACATTTTTTAAAGTCAGTGATGCCCAACCTAATTAATCTGTGGGCCATTTTAATGTCCGATACAGGTGTCGCATGCCGCATCAGTGAGAAGGCATAAAAACACGAACTAAATAATAAATTGGGCCGTGGTTCTAGATCTAGTACTTACGTTAATTAATCATAATTTATTGGGTATTTGAAGTTTATCTTTTTTTTACGCGTCGGAGAATGGCTTTCATTTATCAACTTAAAATGTGAGCAATATTGTATCTGGCCTTACCACCGACTCATTGTATTGTGTGTTTATATTGTGTGTTTGTTGTTGTTTTTTTGTGTAAATATTCCCATCGATCCTCCAATCTTTAGGCAAAGTTTAAGAATATTTTATTCGCGGCTCAAACAAATGTTAAAGGTTAAAGGTCATGGTACAGAGAAAGAATGTGGAGCCTAACGTAGGTAAATATACATTTTTCAATCTTTTTTTTTTTTTTTTTTTGGGATGTGGGATTTTCTACACTTTGTGACGACGTTTTGACGGGCCGGATTGAAACGAAGTCGCGGGCCGAATCTGGCCAGCGAGACGTTTTTCTGGGCATCACTCATTTCAATAAACTATGCTGTTTAATTGAGAAGATCTAACTTCTAAAGCACGAATTACATGATAAGTTAGTCAGTGCAAGGAGTATATATTTTTAAAAAATAGTATGGCTGCCATATCTTGTGGTATTCACTCTAGACAGTCGTCTCGATGGTCGCAGGTTCAAATCCTGCTCGGGGTCCTGTGGTGGGATTGGGCTAAGATTTCCTAATCTTCAATTCTGAAAGGAAATCCGAAGATGTAAAACCAGAACCAATGCTTAATGATAATCTCCTCCTCGCATAGTTTCATTGTAATGTAGGACAGAGCTTAAGTGCACTCAAACTATCATTTGACGTACTCAGAGTAGTGTCAGCAGCCCATGTCCCAAAAAGTTGTTAGTGACCTACTTAGTTTGCCAGGTAGATTGAATGCAAACATAGATCACGTTTTAGAACACGAGACCGGCCCAGCCTAAGTTGTCGTTTACTCATACAATACACTCATTCTGAAAATAGTAGACCCCAGTTTTTTTTTTTTTATTTTCTTTCAACGTCAGAGGTTCAAAACATTTTGACACCAGGAACCATGTGTGTATGCGCTGTAGGTATGGTTCTTCGTAATATACGGTAGGCCTATTCGTCGCAGGATAAATGCAGTGCTGGATTTAGCTATAGACAGCACAAGTTATAGATTGTCTGGGGCCCCAAAAATAATTTCCAGGGATCTTCTTTTCAATTAGCCTACTCAGTCACTCGGAACCATCGCGATGACAAACCACACGACAAGGCGCAATTGTAGGCGTGACTTCATTTTTTTGTGTGTGAATAAACTTAAATATTTTTTAATGCAAATTTTTATGTATTATTCTATATTTTAATATTTTTTATAGATTTTTTTATATAAGCTACAGTTGATAATATGCCTTCTGTCCACGCCTCAAAGTTTTACGACTCTTCTTATCTCGATACTAATAGTAAGTTTACGACATGCTTGGGGAACTAACGAGCATAAACTAAACATTGACCCAGTAGAACTAATGAACTGAGGGCCTAATGTCAGATCAATTAGAGCGATAAACTCTGGTTAAGTGGTCCACGAATGTGGCGCTTACAAAACCATGAAAATATATTTTGTGAATCACTGGTTTAGGATCCCGCCCCTACGCATTCACCAATCTCCCCTGTCCTTTTGATTTTTTACCTCCAATTTTCTACCTAAGCATAAGCTGTGCTCGACCCTTATATGTCACAAATATTAAATTAAGGCCCATTCACACTGGTTATTAAAGCAAGTTATTAAAAAGCGTTCCATTATCCAAGTCAGTCAGAATTTAGGTTTGAGAAAGTTCTTTTAGTGTCGGATTTTATTATGAGGAGGCCTTGGGCAGGAGGGGGCGCGGTGGCTGAGTGGTTAAGCGCTTGGCTTCCGAACCTGGAGCCTAGGTTTCGAATCTAGGTGAAAACTTGGATTTTGAATTTCGTGATTTTTAGGGCGCCCCTAAGACCACCCATCTTTAATGTGTGCATGTCTTTAGTGAGTCCACCATCTTTAATGTTTACATGTCTTTCGTTTGGGGAAAAGTAAAGGCGGTTGGTCGTTGTGTTGGCCACATGATACCCTGCTCGTTAACCTCGCCAAAGAAATAATTGACCTAAACATCATCGCAAGATCTGAAAGAGGAACTTTAGTTCCCTTTTGTGGAGGCCCCTTCGTTCTTACATTTTTCATTAGTAAATGTATTTTAAAATATTCATAAATCTAAAAACATGACATACGTGTGGGGAAAAAATAATAATTACTAGTTAGAAAAAATTATATCAACTCACTCTGTCTACCTGGTAAAAAGTGTGTACACGTTATTTCTCCCACACCCAATCTCGGATCAAGTTGAAACTTCACACAATTACTCATTGGCATAAACCAATAAGTCAATATAAGTCAATGGCAATTAATTATTCTGTTTGATACCAACAACAAGGGAAACAAATCTGTCATTAGGTGCCTATGTGGCTAAATTTGCTGGGTTTAGTTCCCATAAATAATTGTTAACGCTATTTCTCCCTCACGCGTTCTCAAGCTGAAACTTTAAACAATTATTTATTGTAGCTAACAAAGCGTGAATCAATAAATAATACCCAATCATAGTCCTACAATATCGTGAATCCGGCCCTGTGTTTTACTGATATACTCTTTGTCAATTTCATATAGTCTTGCAGAACATCAGCTATAATCCTTTCAGACAAGAGTTGACAAGAATTAGAACTACATTAGCGTGTTGAC